GAATATTAAGGCCAACTGAAAGCAATTATTCAACGAGATACATGATCAATCAACAAATATTTCTTTTTTTAAGATTTTATTTATTTAAGAGAGTGAGCAAGAGAGTGAGCGAACGAGCACACACAAGTCGGGGGAGGGAAAAGTAGACTCATGCTGAGCAGGGAGCCCGAAGTAGGGCTCTATCCTAGGACCCTGGGATCATGACCTGAGCCAAAGGCAGACGCCCAACTGACTGAGCCACCCAGGCACCCCTTAACAAATATCTCTTGAGCATCTATTCTTTTTTTTATTTTTATTGTTATGTTAATCACCATACATTACATCATTAGTTTTGGATGTAGTGTTCCATGATTCATTGTTTGTGCATAACACCCAGTGCTCCACGCAGAATGTGCCCTCTTTAATACCCATCACCAGGCTAACCCATCCCCCCACCCCCCTTCCCTAGAACCCTCAGTTTGTTTTTCAGAGTCCATCATCTCTCATGGTTTGTCTCCGCCTCCGACTTACTCCCCTTCATTCTTCCCCTCCTGCTATCTTCTTCTTCTTTTTTTTTCTTAACATATATTGCATTATTTGTTTCAGAAGTACAGATCTGTGATTCAACAGTCTTGCACAATTCACAGCGCTCACCATAGCACATACCCTCCCCAATGTCTATCACCCAGCCACCCCATCCCTCCCACCCCCCACCACTCCAGCAACCCTCAGTTTGTTTCCTGAGGTTAAAAATTCCTCATATCAGCAAGGTCATATGATACATGTCTTTCTCTGATTGACTTATTTCACTCAGCATAACACCCTCCAGTTCCATCCACGTCATTGCAAATGGCAAGATCTCATTCCTTTTGATGGCTGCATAATATTCCATTGTGTATATATACCAAGCTTCTTTATCCATTCATCTGTCGATGGACATCTTGGCTCTTTCCACAGTTTGCTATTGTGGACATTGCTGCGATAAACATTGGGGTGCACATACCCCTTCGGATCCCTACATTTGTATCTTTGGGGTAAATACCCAGTAGTTGAGCATCTATTCTGTGCAAGACACTGTATCTCTGCTAAAAGTCATATGAGTCAGAGGCCCTTCCAATAAGGGGCTAATGACTGAGTTAAAAGGCTAAGACATGTTCCTATGAGAAGATAACTGCAAGGTAATCTACAATCAATGTCAAATGAGTCATATGAACATAATGACCAAGGGGCTTCAGGGGTACAAATGAACAATTCTAATGGATGATCTGGAAGGCTTCCTGGAGAAGGCTGGACTTGTACTAGGTGCTTTCAGTTGGAGAGGACTTTGATAGGTTAAAGAAGACAAAGATCATGCTAGACGAAAAAAAAAAAATGGCATGAGCAGGATACTAAGTAGGAGGGCACAATGCTTGTTTGGTAGATCATCCTGCCTGAACCAGAAGACTTGTTTTGGGCAGTAGCCGGGGAAACGAAAAGCTGAAAAGAAGGGACCATGGGAACTCAGAGTTTGAAGGGATCCTAGAAATGATCAAATCCAAGCTTTGCTCACCTTATTCTCACACAAATACAAATTTCCCTAGTGTGAGACCAATGTTTAACATACATTTTAGTAACGGGTCTAGATTCCTAATATCTACAGGCCTTGTAAGTGTGGCACAGTAGTTAGAGATAAGCTGTGGAGTTGCAGGCCTGGCTAGACCACTTGCTAGATGTTCACCCTCAGGTTAGTTTGTTAGTTTATTTCTTTATTTCTTCACCTACAAATGTGGATAATAGCATACTCACTGAAAATGGAGGTAGGGAGAAAAAGGAGAAAGAGTCCTTGCAGGAGACAGCAGAGGAGGAGGAATTTCCTTCTTTATACACAATAAAGTGTATTGCCAAGGAAAGCTGAAGTAGAGAGAATTCAAGGTAGGGGATGTTGTTTACAGCATCAAACGAACCAAACAGGTCAAGGTGGTTGAGAGCAGCCAAAAGACCACCAACTTTGACAATCTGGAGGTCACTGGTGACCTTTAAGAAATCAATTTTTGTATAAAAGGAGAGAGGCAGATTGTAGAGAAAGATGAGCTAGGAGGGATGGATGGGAAAGGAAGGAAAACAGAAGGTGTGGTGAGGAACTAGAACTACAAAGACCCCTCCTCATTTGCAGTGACAAGAGAGGGAGAAAGATGGCTTTGATTCAAAGGGGTCACAGGGTTCAGTGATATAATGGCTGGATGGGTAGTTCAGCTTAGAACTAAAATGGCTGGTAACTCTTCTAAGGACTTCCAACCCTAGCTTTCCTACTTGCCAAGATGCAGGGGATGGTGATAAAGGAAGAAGGAAGTTCCTACTCACAAAATATCTTCTCTCTTCCTTTTGTCTAGCACTGCATAGGAAGAAAAATGATTATAAAGCAATCTGCCCATTTATAGTACCATAAGATTGCCAGCTGAACAATTGTAAGAGACTCCCTATGTAGTAAAACCTCATTAATTTGGACTTCACTTTTTTGGAATTTGTGGTAATTTCACCTCGGCTGGAGTTACAAAGAAAGGGTACTACTTACAAAGAAAGGGTTCACTAGGCACATAGTGTGAAAAAAGATTGCAAGGGAGCTAATTTAGCCTGCCAGGGCCTATTTCACCTATTTAAAGAAAATAGTCTTTTTTAAGAACTTCAGCATATTCATTATTTGAATGCAAATTGATTCTGCTAATTATAGATTAGCATAATCTGCTGCTAAAATCCTATATCTGCAACACTTTGCTCTCACTGAATATGCTCATTAGAAATAAAACTGCAATTCTTTAAAGTTAGTTCACAATTCAGATGAATCCATACCCCCTTTCTCCACCCTCATGAGTTAACTACAGTTCAGGAGGTATTACTCTAAACTCGCACATCACTTATCATGAATACAGTGGAAAAACTAGTAAGTGATCAAAAAAGGCCTCAGAGCAGCCAAAATAGATGTCTTAAAGTTGATGCCCTAAATCCTATAACTCTCTCCATAGCAGGTTCTCTTACAGCTGATTTAACTCTTACTTAACGTACTAATCTGACATACCAACTTGGAGCTGGCTGGGTTTTTTTGTTTTTTTAAAGTTTATAACTGATTAGAAGGAGAAAAAGGGCTGCTGCATGAAGGGACACTGAGAAACCAGAACTGACTGCAGACTGTAGAAAGGAGACAGGATATATATAAAATATGGCTGTAATAAGTTAAAAGCTACCAGAGTCTAGGACATTTTAGAGTAGAGATAAAAGGCCTATATTCCTTAGCAAACCCTGAAAACTATAATACAGTATTATGGTGCAGTACAATAACTAAAATCTGGAATTCTGCCTCTAAATGATCAAGCAGAGTTGAATACATGCCTTAAAAAGGCAGATACATTCAAACACACACACAATTTGTATCCATAATGGTTAACCTAAAAATGTGAAATGTGTTGATGCTTAAAAAGATAAAGTTCATAATATTATATAATTATAACAATAGCAACATTAAATAACTACTGTGTGCAGATATCATGCTAAGCACTTTACCTATATAATTGCATTTAAATCCTAAGAAGTGGGTTTTAGTATCATTTCTACTTTACAGCTGAAGAAAGTGAAACTCAGAGAGGTTAAGGAACCACCCGCAGGCCACAGACAGAAACAGAGCTGGGATTAGAACTCACAACAGTTCTTTAGCTATAAACTATGCCTTTCCAATGTTCCAGAAAATAAAGCTCTCTAAAAATCACTCTTTTCTTAAGGGCTCCAGATTGCTGTGTCTTACTCTGTTTTTGTTTTCCGAACCTGTATTTGACAAATACCTTGATTTAGAAGCAGAAAGACCTATAATCTAAGAATCAGGTATAATGTTATATGTTTGTAAACATGCTCCATGTTATAAGGTGAATATAAAAGTAATAGTAAAAACAAAAACAGAACAAAACAAAAACATCATGAACGTGTCTATTAGGTCCATCCCCAAATCTCAGGTCAGTCTCTACATACTATGGATACTGTTTTCAAATGAATAGCCAAGCAACAAAGAGATATATTTTAAAATGCCAAATGATCAGTTAAGATTTGGTTCTCCTAAAGCTTCCCCACTCGTTTTGGAGAAATTTAACCTGAGAACAGGCTAATGGAACATGAAGATAAAGGGGGATTGCAGGGGAGGATAAAAACTCAGTTGGCTGTTATAAATGATTTAGGAAAATGTGCTCATCACCTGTTCAAAGAGAGCTATGAGGGCATAAAATGCATGTGGCAGAGTGCATGCTGCGGGAAACAAGGTGGGGTTGCGGACTGCAGATATATGTGGTTATCTGCATTACAAGTAAAAGTAAGGGTAGCACATCACATGTACAAAGAAAAACATACAGTGAAATCATTCATTCATGCAATGCTCTAACTTAAATCAATGCTCTTTATTCATCTTTTTTTGTCTCAAGCCTCAACCCTGACCCATTCAAGGGTCAGCTACAAATGTCACTTTTTTTTTTTTTAGAGAGGTGGGGGGAAGGAGAGAGGGAGAGAGAGAAGGGATGGGGAGAGGGAGGGAGAGAATCTCAAGCAGGCTCCACACCCAGCACAGAGCCTGACGCCGGACTTGATCTCAAAGCTCGCCTTAAGGCTCAATCTCATGACCCCGAAATCATGACCTGAGCTGAAATCAAGAGTTGGACACTTAACGGCCTGAGCCACCCGGGGCCTCTACAAATGTTACTTCTGCTGTGAAGTGTTCCACGATGCCCAAGGCTGAATTACACTCTTCCCCGTTTGTGCTCCCATTGGTTTTTTCCCCCCTTTCCACACTTACCACAGTACCAGTGATACTCTGTCTCATTATTAGAGTTATTCACGTCTGTGTTTTCCCTCTCCCCCCTTTATCCCACCATGAGTTCCTTGAGGGCAGGGGACACTCCCATTTCTGTAGTTCCTACAAATGCCTGCACAGTGCCAGTCACACACTAGGCTCTGGGAAAATGGTGACTCCACAGCACTGGCTCAAGACGGTGCATTATTGCCTAGCTTACCTGAAGGAGCATTTGTTCTTTTTCTTTTCTTGCTTGACTCCCCTCCATTCTCAATGAGGCCTTCTGTGACCAGAGGGCCACTGGCACTACCAAACTGCAGGGGTTCGTTGTTGTTGGCAGGGTCAAAGGGCAGCTGGTTCAATCCTAAAGAAGAAAAAGAAAGCCAAAATCCAGACTCCATTAAGGACTGGGATGTCTCTAGATAGGAGCCACTAGAGGAAAACTCTCTAAATTTTTAAGAACCTAGGGATAACAGGTGAGTTCCTTAAAGCCAGTTGTCCTGTGTAATTTTTCCAGATTTTGCTAAAGAGTACAGAATTAAAATGTAGGGTCTTGTAAGACTGTGGCTTATCTTTGAGAAGATCCCTGACATTTCTGGGAAATCAACATTTTTGGCCACAAGCTATCAATTATCTTCTGCCTCATTCCTTAAAGAGATAGGACCCTTAATTAGAGAGGTGGGGGGAAGGAGAGAGGGAGAATGTAATGAAGTGTGGCTATGGTCGAACCCACTCTTTGAAAAAGCTTGGTCATGTATTCCTCAGGTTATCTCCCTTTTTTTAAAGATTTTATTTATTTATTTGAGAGAGAGCAAGAGCACAGAGGGAGAATGAGAGGGAGAAGCAGACTCCCCACTGAGCAGAGAGCCTGATGTAGAGATGTGGGGCTTGATCCCAGGACCCTGAGATCATGACCCGAGCCGAAGGCAGACGCTTAACTAACTGAGCCACCCAGGTGCCCCTAATTCTTGAGACAGTGTTGTAAAGGTCAACAAAAGCTTGGAGTCTAGTCAGCTAAAAGTCAATCAAGTTTCAGTAAAATGAATGCTAAGGTTCTAACAAAATGTCTTTACATTATTGTTTTTAGTTAAAAGTATACCTATGCTAATGTTTTCAGCCCACGTAACAAATACCATTTCTTCAGCAATCAGACTTTACTCAGAACACCTCCATTAAATGTCTTCTGGGACTTGTCAAACATTCTTCCTTACATCATCTGAGTAAGTGAAAGAATGAAAACTCACTTCTGTATCTTAAGTCAACTGTTCACTGCATCATATCTATGTTCTATTAAATCCCTACTATGTTTAGAACTAAAGAAACAAACATCAATTGCTATGTATTAAAAAACATTCCAATAATGACCAAGACGATTTACAAGGACGAGAATTTAATTTTAATACAATTCACAAATGAAGATGTTTCTTGCACCTGAGTGGTCCCTGAGTCAAATGTGAGTAGTGTTCTATTGCAAAACTTTTCTCAGTATTTCTTTCTGCAGTATTATACTGAACAAGTTCCATGGAAGATGGAATGGTATCATGGAAACAGTCTGTATTTTGGAGCCTGACAGATTAGGGTTAAAATCCTGGCTGTGTCTTTTACTAGCTGGCAATTTGTGTAATCTCCCTTAGTCTTAGTTTCATAATGTGTAAAAGGGGACTGATAACATTTGTACCGGGTTGTTGTTAAGATAAAAAAGATAAAATATATATATTTAAAGTTATTATTATTCTACTATTCTAAGTGAATTAAAAAAAACTTTTCTCTGTAAGGTTGTAAACTCTTCTTAGGAGGATCTCCACCCCAACACTCTACCCTCTCTCCCCACCCCCAACTGTATCCCTGGTGCCTATCACCATGCCTGGTACATAGTGAGTGTTGGATGAATTAATTAATACTCAATAGGGAGGGGGTAGGTGACTCATTCTTTTAACCTATGTAGTTAGAGTAAAGACGTGACAGCTGATAATCAAGAATTAATGCCACAACTTAAAAGTTCTGGTGCTGATTATATCAACATTAAAATAATTAGATTTCAAATGCATCTCCATCATTTCTTAAAGATTTTATTTATTTGAGAGAGAGAATTAGAGAGAGAGAGAGAGCACATGAGAGGGGGGAGGGTCAGAGGGAGAAGCAGACTCTCTGCTGAGCAGGGAGCCCGATGCGGGACTCGATCCCAGGACTCCAGGATCATGACCTGAGCCAAAGGCAGTCGCTTAACCAACTGAGCCACCCAGGCACCCGCATCTCCATCATTTGAGTACTATACTGCAGGATGGTGAAAGCTTGATCAAAAGGAATGCTTAAGGATTAGGAGGTTCTGATTAATGATAGATAATCAGAAAATTTTTTCTTATTTTGTTTTGCATTTGATAATTTTACAGAATATATTAGTCCATTTCCCTGCCTTATCAAGTAGATGACCGAAGATCTTACAGGACTTCAGAGCCATAATCTATAAAGGGAAGTTAATAACAGTGCCTAACTCATGGGACTGTTAAAAGGATTAAAATGAAATTATGTATGTGGAACATTCTGCATTACATCTGGCATATAAGCAGATACTCAATAAATATTAACTGCCACTACCATAATTTTGAATTTCTATTTCCATTCCATTTCAACTTCTAGAATTGTCGATGTACAATGTGAGGAGAGTGGTCTGGTCTGAAATTGCTCTGATCCAAGGATAGACCCTACTTCCCTCATCGAATGTTTTCATTGCTGTTTGAAAAGCTGGAGTTCAGGAAAAGAATCTGCTAATTAAAAGTATTCAGTCATAGATATTTGACTATAATTGTTTTGCCTTTTATTTAGTCCCAGATGATAACTTTAGGGATTTAGGTATTTTGTTCCTCATACTAGCATATAGATTTTTGTTTGACACTAAATAAAACTGAGATTTCAAGTATTTTCTGTGTATCCACCTCAGATATGATCCAGATATGTGAAAATCCTGATAATTTAGCGCACCATCTCAGGCCTTTTTTTTTTTCAATTTTATTTATTTATTTGACAGAGAGAGATACAGCGAGAGAGGGAACACAAGCAGGGGGAGTGGGAGAGGGAGAAGCAGGCTTCCCGCGGAGCAGGGAGCCTGATGTGGGGCTCAATCCCAGGACCCGGGGATCATGACCCGAACCGAAGGCAGACGCTTAACGACTGAGCCACCCAGGTGCCCCTCAGGTCTTGTTTCTTATAGAAAAGTCTCTCATATCAAGATCAGAAAGACCTGTCATTCAGTAAGTTGATTCATTGAATATGAATCCACATTTTGTATTATCTGGGACCCAAGTCTCCAGTCTCCAAAGATTTGTAGTTTAAGAACAAGGGCTGTAGAGATAGCAAAATCCTTTGACACCAGTGCTTTCTAGCCACTTTCATTTATTCTTTTATTTCTCCCCTAAGACAACACTAAATAAACCAATAAGTCAGTAAATCAATAGGTACTTAGAGGCTTTTCTGTGTCATGTGTATGTGATCCAAGCTGAGTGCTACTGTAAATAAAATAGCACCATTAAAATGATTTAAATTCTAAAAAGAAAACTACCACTTTAAAGAATTCTTACTGCAGAAATTATGACTTAAATGTAAAATATTAGCAATGACCATATTGTAATTGTCACTGAAACTACAGAATTTATCTTTAAATCTCTTATGGAAGCTATTTCTCCTGTTTTTCTACTAGGCATGATGAAACCATTAGATTAAGAAGACATTAGGAAAATATTAGATGAGGAAGAAACTTTTGAGGTTATTTAGTTCATTCTTTTATGCAGTAATCTTACCTATAGGATTCCTGACAGGCCTAAACCCCGGGGGGGTGGGGGGGACTTCGCCTGGGGACCATTCCTTGCTGTGCTCCCGGAGATTCACCTTGCTTTGCTTACCTTTTTCAAAACTACCGCCTCCTCTATTTTGAGGGTTCCTTTCATTTACCCCAAACTGCCTGTGAAGGATGATGCATTTTATTCAACTATTAACTTGCTTATTGTCCCTAAAATGAGAGCATAGCATGTCTAACTTTTTAAAGGTTCTACTGATAATTACAGCAAGAAAAACAAATGAGGGAGTAACGAATAGTTAACAGAGCAATGTTAGAAATTTTCCAAAGTCTGGGGCACCTGGGTGGCTCAGTCATTTGAGCATCCGATTCTTGATTTCGGCTCAGGTCATGATCTCAGGGTCCTGAGATGGAGCCTGCGTCAGGCTCTGTGCTCAGCGGGGAGTCTGCTTGGGATTCTCTCTCTCTCTCTCTCTCTCTCTCTCTCCCTCTCCCTCTGCCTCTCACCCCCACGTTCTCGCTCTCTCTAATATAAATAAATAAATCTTTTAAAAAAAGAAATTTTCTAAAGTCATATAGTTCTCACAGTCCTTGCCCTTTTATCCCTAAGGATAAATTTAATAAAACTTTGAACTTTGCTCATTCATTTCTCCTCACATCTTGTCCCCTCATTGCCTAATCCCACAACACATACAGTTTTTCTAAAGGGAAGCACAAATTGATAAAAGCAAAGGAAAATGGATAATAAACACTGGTGTTATAGGTTTTTGCTACTACTGTAGCTTATGATCACAATCAAGTCCATGTGGTAATGTAATCCCATCTAAAACCAGGCTGACTGGTTTAGAGAGCTGACCAGCTGTTATTTCATGTCAAGTCAAAATACAGATTATCTGACTTCATAACACAAATGAGGCCACTTTAGAGACTATGCATATTAGGGAAGGGTCGGGGTGGGGGTCCTTGGAGAATGACATTTCTCATCCAACGGAACCAGCAAATTAAACATCTCAGAATGAAGTGTGGTTCTTAGTTCACATGCAATGATGTCTGCCATACAGATGCAAATGATTCCTGGGTTTTGAGGAGAGCACTAAAGAATTTTCATGACTCTTGTGAAAGAAGATCAATGATCTCTTTGTGCCCAGCTGCTGTTATAGTTACTGTCACAATTGACTTTACAGAGCTTTCCACTATCAGGTCAAATTAGGACTAGCCTTCATGATGCAATCTAACACTTTTAATGATTGCTCCAGGTTATGGTAGGGAAATATGACCCTGTGGTCCCTGCCACTTCTTATTTGCAGCTGTGGCCCATGGACTGAAGGTGGTACAATCTTAGCAAAAAGAAAACACAATTATACTCTGGATTAGTTCCCTTTCAAAGAAAATGGTTAGGTCCTGAGAAATCTGGTAAATTCAATTCAAGGCAGCAATCTCCAGACAGACACTTAGATTGAAAAAAAAAATAGAGTATCCATTTTTGGCAAAAGTAACACTATAGTTAATTTATATATAAAACAAATTTCTGTAACCTGAGTCCTATTTTCCAAGTAACTTCAGTTTGAAATCAG